CAAACAACATTTTTCTTTAGCCTAGGCAACTGAAAAAAATATACTTTAAGCATTCATCCAAAAACTGAAAGATAATCATCACAGCCCCTATCCTCAGTAACGCTTTTGTACCTCTCTACAAAATTGAGACGAGCTGATCATGTTTGGCAGACTAACAGAGGTTTTGTTGCCATCTTTGGACTCTAAACTTGGCTTGCTAACTATTGTGAGAGCTATCTCGTTGAGTTGTCTCTTTTGTATCTAACCGTCTTCAAAACTATTTTAGCCGCTTTATTCAGGACAATCAGTCTTCCTCTTCTTTTTTTGTCTTCAAAACCTTCATTTCTCGATGACCATTTCACCACCCAAGATTCGGATTTTGCAGTTTTTTTTAAGCAGTTATTTTCTACTGATAAGCCGGTAAATCGAAGTAAACTTGTTTATGCTTCCATGTTACTGAACGTTTTTGCGTTTAGAGGTTTTTTTCTTTCATGATATTCACAAAAAACAAGGAAGGAGTTTGAGCAAACCGGGCTCTGACAAAATACAAAAAATATGTGACGGGAAAATCCACTCGCGCACGCGCCGCCTTTGGCGCGGAAGGACACAAATAGAATATTAGAGTCACAAGATGGCACAACAAGCAGAAAATATTAAATTATATCGAAAGACACAACTTTTGTTCAAACGATTTGATGACCAAGTCTAATCGGACTACATTACAGTCTTATATAGTGGAGGAACGAACTTTACGGACACCCTGTATATATCTCACTGCTAGCAGCAGAGAATAACCAGGACTCAATTGTTCGCTTGGGAGGTCTAAGAGGGGAGCAAAATTAATCGATACTGAAACAAACTTACAAAAACTTACCTACTCTGCTAGCATATGAAAAAAAGATAAGTGGAACTTTTGATGACCATTAAGTCTCAAATTTTAATTTTGAACGGTCGGCCCACTCCCTTAATATAGATCGGAGAGCGTAACTAGTAAAAGGGCGTAGAAGAAAAAAAACGAAAAAAAGGCTTTTCGCATGAAATAACACCGTTTCTCTTATTAGTTAAAAGTTGGTCCTGGCTTCCTGGCTACTAGGCTGGGAGCGAAACGAATAGCTGACTATTCCCACTTCTGGAGAAACATTGGTCATGTCGGTTATAACTACAAAGAACTACAAAGGACCGTAAACGAATACGCCGCAGAACGATGGATCTGCAGAAGAACTCATTAGAAAAAAATATGCAAAGTTGGACTACGAATGTTTTTTATTAATTTCTCAAGTACTAAAGCCAATACTTTGGTCCTTTAGCTACCACATGGAAGTCATCTAAACCTGTCATTGATTTTATTATTATAATCATTATGATAAGTATTGTTCCATCATTATGACTATTACCATGATTTGTTATTTTCATTTAATTTCGATATCATTACTATTATCGTTGTCGTTGTCGTCATCGTTATCAATACTGTCTGTCCTCTTCAAGCCACAAGTCAGGTGTTTGCTTTGGTTCCAGTCGGGTCACAAGAATATGGTAGACAAAGAGGCCACTTGATGAATGTGCTACCTCCCGTCAGGTCTTCTACTTGCAGTATAAGAGTCAGCCTGAAGAGTGGGTATAATAGTCCACTGTATTTGTTCAGTTTCCCTTTCTGGGGGAATGCGCAAACAGCCTAGAAGGATGGGAAATGACTTGCTGTTAAAATAAACCACTACGAGCCTCAGCGCTCCGGAAGTTAAAAAATTCGTACCGTCTGGTTGCTATGAAGTGACGTAATCATCCAGTTGAGTATCCATCACCGTAACACTTTTGCGGTCAACTACCGCAGCGCTCGTAAAGTACTTTAATTAAAACCGTGTTCAAAACCCTGTAGGAAGTCTGTTTATTTTTGAGTCGATTAATGCACTGCTGACTTTCACGAGGTCAACTTTTGCATAAATTATCAAACATTATGTTAAGCGGGAAATCTACCTATGGTTCGCGGGAGAAGCAACTTCTATAGCGGCGCAAGACAAATGTTTCGAGAGTCGAGGATGTGCTCACAAACTATTCACTATGCGACGAAAGGAGAAATCACTGGCATGATAGCTGCATGTAATGGTAATTTTATCAATCCAGGTCGCGCCGTGTTCGCTCGAGAACGCTGTGACAACCTCGTTTGGCGCGCTTCTCAATACTTCCAAAACATGTTGTAATCGGTAAGTAGACTTAAGCACTTAGTATCGCCAAGCCATTCGAATCAGTGTATACCCAATTCTTTGTCTGAAGATTCTCGCAAACACATATACCAAGTAAATCTGGATGGAAGAGGAAATTGTCTCCCTAAACGCAGCCAGATTATATTTTGAAGGATGGCGACACAATTCAACGCGTCTTCAAGGTCAGCCCTAATTTATAGTTCGTAAGAGTATAAATTGCGATCTCCCTATTAAGCTTTCTTTGATAAAACTTCAGTAGAAACAAAACAACGCAGACATGACATTCTCCTGCATGAGACACAATCGGCTGAAGGAAATATCTGTTTACAAGTCGGGTAAATTATCCATTCTTGCGCACCGCAAAATCAGCTAAAATCAGACGCTGGAAACCTGGCATATTATTAAGCCTGAGCGCTTCTAAGAATAACACGTTTAGAACTTCGACGCGTAGAAAAAAAAAGGCAGTTGTTCTATATCCTTTCTGGTTCATCCAGGTAGAAGTCCTGGCATATTATTATGCCTGAGCGTTTCTAGGATATATAACACGTTTAGCATTTCAACGGCCCGTAGCCGTAAAAAACAATTTAGGCAGTTGTTCTATATCCTTTCTGGTTCATCCAGGTAGAAGTCCTGGCATGATATTATTATGCCTGAGCGCTTCTAGGATATATAACACGTTTAGCATTTCAACGGCCCGTAGCCGTAAAAAAAAATTTAGGCAGTTGTTCTATATCCTTTCTGGTTCACCCAGGTAGAAGTCCTGGCATGATGTTATTATGCCTAAGCGCTTCTGGGATTTATAACGCGTTTAGCATTTCGATCCGTAGCCGAAAAAAAAAATTTAGGCAGTTGTTCTATATCCGTTCTGGTTCACCCAGGTAGAAGTCCTGGCATGATGTTATTATGCCTGAGCGCTTCTGGGATATATAACACGTTTAGCATTTCGATCCGTAGCCGAAAAAAAAAATTTAGGCAGTTGTTCTATATCCTTTCTGGTTCACCCAGGTAGAAGTCCTGGCATGATGTTATTATGCCTGAGCGCTTCTAGGATATATAACACGTTTAGCGTTTCGACCCGTAGCCGAAAAAAAAATTAGGCTGTTGTTCTATATCCTTTCTGGTTCACCCAGGTAGAAGTCCTGGCATGATGTTATTATGCCTGAGCGCTTCTAGGATATATAACACGTTTAGCGTTTCGACCCGTAGCCGAAAAAAAAATTAGGCTGTTGTTCTATATCCTTTCTGGTTCACCCAGGTAGAAGTCCTGGCATGATGTTATTATGCCTGAGCGCTTCTGGGATATATAACACGTTTAGCATTTCGATCAGTAGCCGAAAAAAAAAATTTAGGCAGTTGTTCTATATCCTTTCTGGTTCACCCAGGTAGAAGTCCTGGCATGATGTTATTATGCCTGAGCGCTTCTAGGATATATAACACGTTTAGCGTTTCGACCCGTAGCCGAAAAAAAAATTAGGCTGTTGTTCTATATCCTTTCTGGTTCACCCAGGTAGAAGTCCTGGCATGATGTTATTATGCCTGAGCGCTTCTAGGATATATAACACGTTTAGCGTTTCGACCCGTAGCCGAAAAAAAAATTAGGCTGTTGTTCTATATCCTTTCTGGTTCACCCAGGTAGAAGTCCTGGCATGATATTATTATGCCTGAGCGCTTCTAGGATATATAACACGTTTAGCATTTCGACCCGTAGCCGAAAAAAAAATTAGGCTGTTGTTCTATATCCTTTCTGGTTCACCCAGGTAGAAGTCCTGGCATGATGTTATTATGCCTGAGCGCTTCTAGGATATATAACACGTTTAGCATTTCGACCCGTAGCCGTAAAAAACAATTTAGGCAGTTGTTCTATATCCTTTCTGGTTCACCCAGGTAGAAGTCCTGGCATGATATAATTATGCCTGAGCGCTTCTGGGATATATAACACGTTTAGCGTTTCGACCCGTAGCCGAAAAAAAATTAGGCTGTTGTTCTATATCCTTTCTGGTTCACCCAGGTAGAAGTCCTGGCATGATGTTATTATGCCTGAGCGCTTCTAGGATATATAACACGTTGGCAATGAAATCGACCGCAGACTTTAAAATGTTCTTTTTAGAAGGCACTGAATTATTTTTTCCGGACATTTTGTTTGATACCGCATTTTTAATTAATTTTATTTGTCGCCCCAGGATGATGACATGATTGCGTGAAAATTGACGCCTCCATCATATTAGATGCGAAATATGATCAGAGATTAAGGGAATAGGGAATGTTGCAAGCTACTGGGTATCCAGCTGAGATAGCTGACTTTTACTCAGCTATCTCAGCTGGATACTGAGGGGTTTTTTTGGTTGCTAAGACCGTGCAGCTCGTTATGATTCCTACTTCATGTGGGTCATGATTTACGCCCTCGAGCAAACCATGCAACAACTTGCATTTGACCGAGAGGATGTCGTAAAGGAAAATTTTAAACGGAGTAAAAAGTTGTTAAATATTGATTTATTACTGATATAAAATTGCGCTTGCCTATGACCTGGACGTCTTGTTTTAATGTCAATGTTTTTGTCAGCTCCAGCTATCTGCTGATTCACCTTTTGTCTTTCCTGGAAAACCCAAGTTTTACCGGTAGCTTTTCTCGGAAAAGCTGGCTTAGACCGGATTTAATTTGTTCCATCTACTTTTCGTTCAGTTTAAAAACGCAGATACTGCCAAAAAAGTGTAAATAGAGAAGAGGCGGGGACTGAATGACGAAATGACATAAAACGACATTCTGAAATTAAAACCAATATTGCACCGCTTGTCATGATCAGCTTTTCAGGAATAACGATATGAGATCGGACTGTATAGCCCAATAGTCCTGCCTTAGTGATGTTTATGACAATACGGTGTAATTAATATCAGACTCATATCCGATCTTTCTTGACAAAATGATGACCTCCAAGACCCACTCAAGGGGTGATTTAATATCATGAAGAAACAAAGACTAGAATTTCATAATCTCTATAGATAATTCTATCTGCGCCAATGGCGACAAATCTCCTCACCGTTGTGTCAGGTCTTCATCTGATTTTTACAATCGCATCATTTGCTTTTCTTTCTCTTAAAGTCTATCACCTCGAGTGTGAGCTTTCCTTAATTCGAGGAAAAGTTTCGTTAACTGCGGAAGGCGATGTAAAAGTGACCGAAGTGACCCCGCTGTCTGCAGATTCAAATAATGAAGAGCTCAGAAGTGAAAGAAATCGTCGAGATCATCAACAGAAGCTCAAATCATATACAGGAGACAACCTCAAGGCAGCATGTGTCCAGAAGTTGTTGGGCGATCTTCAGGTATCAAATTGTTTCCCTTCAATTTGTAGCATTTTTGTACAATTACTGAGCGATCGAGTTGCCAATTTCCGTTTGGACATATCTAGGTAGTGCGTCAGTGTTGCGAGTGTGCGAGAGTGCGTACGTGATTACTAGCCCTAGCACCCATAATTAAACTATAGAAAAAGCGCAAAAATGTGGAATTAAGCAGTGCATTAGAAGAGTGCAGCAAGTTTTAGACCTTCGGCATGATTTTCTTTGAATACCAATTTCCATGACCCGTTGAGTAATTATATAACATCCACGATGGGAACCATTTTGAACTGATGGCACAGCATATCTCGTCATGTTCTCCCTATTTTACCACGTGTTGCTAGTCAAATCACTGAAAAACCTACCTAGACTGTTTCCCTTCCCTGATTTCAAGTGATAATCCTGATCTTGGTATCTAAGCACCAAGGAGGGCTGGGTAGAGGTGGAGGCGGGATAGAAGATACATTTGATACTCTTTTACTCTTTTACTCCTTTACAGCATTGCAGAAAGCGCTCGTCGATTTGACGATGATATGAAAAAGTAGAGGATTGTAAACAGTCTTTCCCTCAATTAAGAAAACATAAAGGAAATTCCGTCGTGAGCTTCCGGAGTCTCGGTAGACTAACTGTCAATATATGTTCACAGTGTAGGTTGCACTAGTACTAGGCTGAGTCATCAACTGAACACAGTCGGCCCACTCCATTACAGTTTAACTTATTTGAATCTAAGGACCTCTTGCCTCTTTGCCTTATAGGTAACGTATGTGCCGTCCTAAAGGGTATGGTTTGTGCGCCTTTTTGGTCTGAAAACGGCGGGTAAAGGCTTTGCCTATTTTCGTCTGAATTAGGGTATGTTTTTCCAGGGCCTGAATACGGGTCGGAGTGCATGAACGTATTTGTCGTTTTAAGTCCGAATGAATAAGAAAGCCGAAAGAGCAATATGCGAATTTGAAATGGATTTTAAGAAATCTTTTTGTTGGCGTTCTAATCTAAGTAATTATAACATAATTTCTGCCTACGCTAGGTATGAGAACGGGCGTGGGTCGAATTTTGGTTTGAGACAGTATTGTCGAGATTTATAGAACCAGATTGTACATCCCCAACACGAATTCCCAGGAATACCTCCCACGGGTACTGTACAAATGTTTGTGATCATGCGAGAGAGAGAGCCTGCAGTGAAGGCGTATTTTGGGCGGGCGAAAGGTGCTTGTTTATGTTTGTACTGTTGTAACCACTATCTTTGTTATTAAGGAGGAAGATTAGGGAGAGTAAAAACTATTTTCTCCCCTTTTTTCGAGTTTCAACATGCGCTTTAGTTCGCAAGCAAAACATTCGCGCGCCGGAAGAAAACGCCTGCACTGCAGGCTAGCTAGAGATGGATTAGAATGAAAATACCAAATATCTTGGTATTCGTTTTGAGTTATTTCTTACCAATCTTGTAAATAATTGACTTGCAATAACTTGTGTCACGTTTATATTATTATGGCCTGGAATAATTTTTTCTTCAGGTCATCGATGATGCAATCAATGGAACTGGAAAACTTGTCTGTATGAGAGGTCAGTACAAATTAATCCAAAAAGCATCCTTGATCGACGTATCGGTCGGCGTGTCGGTAGAGTGTCGGTCGAATGTCGGTCAAGTATCGGTCACAGTGTGTGGCCGATAGTTTCCAGTTCGAAACAGAAACGTTACTCTGAGGTTCCCTTTCAGGTCCTCAAGGCCCACCAGGACAACCAGGTCCACGAGGTCATCGCGGTAAAACAGGACCACCAGGTTTACCCGGTCGTCGTGGCCGTCCAGGAATGCCTGGCAAAAACGGATCTCCTGGAAGGAGAGGTCCTCGAGGGAAACCAGGAAAGGGTTCCCATGTTAATGTTACCGAGATTGAAAACCTTCTGGAAATATTGAAGACATACAGTCCTGAGGATATAACATTGTTTGGTTAGTACAAATCCTTTTGAAAGATATTCGAGAGTGCAGATCAGTTTCTCTCCATCCTTTATTTTAGTAGTTAGTGGCTTAATTTTTTTCTTATGTACACCCAACAGCTCCGCCTCGATTTACAAAGAAACCCCCTTCTTTCATTGTCATTAAGGAGGGTGGTAATGTGTCATTCAGTTTTTCTACATCCGGGAATCCGGCACCCAAGATCACGTGGTCTATGCAGCGTAAAAGCCGAGAAAGCCCAGCTCGATTCAGGATACTAGATGACAAGTTTGAGATGGACAATGTCCGCTTCGAAGACGAGGGATTAATCACTTGTCATGCTGAAAATATGTTTGGTGTTGAAGTATCCAAAGTGAATCTGACTGTTTTAGGTGAGTTGTTATCATTGTTTATTTCAAAACGTGGCATACCCTGAGGAGTGCGTGACAAACAGACCATTTAGGAGGAAGGATTACCACAGTTAGTGCTCGCGCGTTCTTCCTTCCTTTTCGTGTAGCTGCAAGCAGCTTCAAATACCCGTAAAACGGAGCACTGATGAAGAGAGGGGGCGGGGTAAAATGAGCGCACCGTCGGCCTCAGGTTTATTAGTCAGATGACTATGTTGAGCTACTGACGTAAAGTAAGGACTCTTCAGTTTAAGCATCTCCATAATTGCGTTATGTTTAGACTTGTGGTAAGTATTCTTCTTCCATCTTTGAATAAGTGTTCCTTGATGACTTTAAAAGCGCGTGTTTAACCTTTTTTGCTTCTCTTTTTCTTTTCCTCTGCAGGAGCGCCAAGGTTTCCCAAGTCCCCTCCAGTAAAATTGTACGGCTTCTTAGGTACAGAAACAAAAGTGGAATGTGACCTTTTTGGAAACCCCACCCCTGAAGTTCAATGGAACAGATCTCCCTCGTCCGCTCTCCCTCTGGGACGTAGCGAGGTAAAAAAAGACGGGCTTTATATTAACAACACTAAGAAAGAGGACGAGGGCATTTACACGTGTCTTGCGACGAATGAATATGGTATGGTCATCCCTGGAACATATCTCATAGTCAAGGCAGTGCGTAAGAGTAAGAACTTAGAAAATTAACTACAAAGGACCGTAAACGAATATGCCGCAGAACGAAGTATCTGCAGAAGAACTGATCAGCAAAAGTCTACAAAGTTGGACTACCACTGTTCTTTAATAATTTCTCAAGTACTAAAGCCAATACTTTGGTCCTTTGGCAACCACGTGGAAGTCATCTAAACCTTTCATTTATTTTTATTATTATAATGATTATTGTTCCATCATTATGATTATTTCCATCGTTATTTTAGTTTTCGATACCATTATCATTATCGCGATCGTTAACGTTTTCACTGTTATTCAAAACACTGCCTGTCCTCTTCAAGCCACAAGTCAGGTCTTTGCTTTGGTTCCAATCGAGTTGCAAGAACATGGTAGACAAAGAGGCCACTTGGTGAATGTGCTACCGTGATATTTATCCATTTACATGCCATGGTCAAGTCTTTCATTCGACAACATACCAATAAGCACTTTGCACCTGGTCATTCATGTGGTACTAAACTGCTTGCAGTCCGTCCACCTCTTAGGCTGAATTTCATCCGATTACTTCGAGTCGTTATTACTCCCTCAGTAACGTCTGAATCGACCGGCCGTTAATACCGTCCAGTGACGTCACTACTCCTTTGCTTTTATTCATGCAAAAAGTTAAACACTATTTTCAAGTGGCAAACCAAGAAAAATCGTTTGGAAATGTCTGCATGATACAGAATGGCTTTACTTTTTTCGATCGTAATTCATGTTTAACGTTCAAACTATCAACTGCATGCAGTAACTCTGAACCGGTTGTAATTCCATAATCAAACTTGGTCGCAATCACGCAATGAAATGATACACACACGGAACACTTAGTTCAAAAACACAATGATTTGCTTTAACTGAAAAGAAACCACTTAGTCCTTTTCGAAGAAAAAAGAAAACAAGGAAACAAGAAAGAAAAGCTAACAGAATCATTACAACTGACAGTGAAAATAGCTAGAAGGTCGAATTACAACATTGGTCTCATGGAACTTTCCATCAACAAAATCACTGCCGCAACCACAAAGTGGTTCTAAATGAAAAACCTACCGACTCTTAGCAATGATTCTTCATTCGCAGTTCAATTTCACTTTTCAGTTTCGAAGATGAGGGCAACTTTGCTGTTTACGATAAAGATTATCGAAATGTTTGAAGTCCACTAAAACATACCAGGGATCTGATCTGCTTATAGAATTATCAAGCGACAATCCCGCTAAAACTTCTCTTAATTATGCATAATTATGCGGATGTTTAGACAATCAACCAATCAGAATCACTACCCGGTTTTAGGGTAGTGATGACGTCACTGGACTGCATTAACGGCTGGTCGATTCAGACGCTGCTGAGAGGAGAAAACGACTCGAAGCAATCGGATGAAATTTAGGCTATCCACCTCTCAAAATCCGTATAGTTCTTCTCCCAGTCAAAAACGCTTCTGTTTATCGCGGCTCGCGTGCATGGTTTACGTGTGGAGTAGCTTTGCAAAGCCAAAAAAGAGACTGCTCGCTATGCACATGGCACAAACCTCCATGCTGGAGACGCACTGGGACAAGACAAACGAAGGGAATTTGCCATTATAAACGATGTGATCGCACTTCAGATGTGGTCTCTCTCCAACAAGGCGGTTTTGTACCACGTGAATGACTAGCTGCAAAGGGCCTATTTGACCACTGACAAAGTAAACCAGACTTTTATTTAATCTTCATTCAGAACCACCTGTGTTTACAGTAACACCACCTGAAGCAGTCAATATATCCGGTGTAGAGGAACCAGTTAGAATCAACTGCTCAGCTACAGGATCCCCTTTACCCAAAATCACGTGGTACAAGTACAATATTACCTTACCAGCGAACATTTACATCAACGATGACGAAGTAACTAGCGAGCTCGTGATTGGTCAGCCTAAGCCTTCGCTCCAGAACACATATACATGCGTTGCTCGTAACTTGTATAACGACGAAGTAAAGACAACTACAAAGATAGGTGAGACTCGTACTTTGAAATGTAAGCGGGATACCTTACGAGAAGATGCCCTTTGATTCCTGCTGATTCCTCTTGGGGATTAACAAAGCGAGTTAACAAGGAGATCACAAGTGAAACCTCTAGCTACTTGCGGGTTTAATTTAAGAGACGGCAGTCATTTGAGACTAAATATGAAAACAAGTCCACTCGCTATTGCGCTGCATTTGTGTATGTAATAAGACTTCATTTTGCCTGTCCAATTTAGAAATAATTGGATGTAAAAAAAAATTCCGAGGACAACCACGGCTTTTCACACTTTGCCATTTTCTAATCTTTCTGAGTGGTAACGACATACACAGCAACAAGAAGCCGATAGCGTTCGCTGACGAATCGCCGTCAGCTAACAAAACTTTTTAGGCCTGTTGACAGATTGATTTTGCCCTGATCGGCTAATTTGTAGAGCCTGTTTTATTTTCTGGCATTTAATTGGCTCAGACAAGCTGTCCTATTTTTCTTAAACTGGACAGTTCGCCTATTTCTAAAAGAGAGTCCTATCTCAAACTGTCAAAAAATCAATCCTTAATTAAGGTGGCTAAACACAGTTTTGGCAGTTTTTGATTATATGTCATTTGCCAAATCATGGCAAGAGAAAGGTTGCTGCTCACAAGCTGAGACTTGGCAAGTGAAAAGTGTACTGATAAAAGATTTTGATTGACAGGTAAAAAATGTCGTTTTCGTAGTTTCCATGGCAACATGAACTATTGATTACAACCTTAAATTTTCACTTTTTCTCAGTTTACATAAAACTTGCTCATTAGATTTTCCTATTAACTTGCACACAGCTTACTATAATTGATCATCACCATTTGAAACTTATTTGACCAAATTTTAACAGAGGGGTTTTTAGATAATCAATAATTTAATTGTACTGTAATTATTAAATGTGTCAAAAAATTCGTCTGTTCAACTTCCGTTTTAAAGTTGAGTAGATTTTGAGAAATCGTCTTCTGTGTACCATTGCTTTTTCGCCGCCATGTTTGTTTGTCTAATTTAAAACACTCGCCGTCACGCAAGTTACCGCTGACCATCCGCAAAACTGTGTTCAGCCACCTTAAACAGCGTTTAAAAAATCAAAAGATTATAGTCAGATTAACTACCAGCTGTATAATTGATTTTTGTAACATCATTATACCTGCACTAAGAAGTTAAATCAAAAACACTGTTTTCATATATACCATTCCGGGAGCATTTTGGAGAAATGTATTACCGCGCGCTGATGAAAAACTATGAATTTTTGGTATTTATAACTCACGTCTTGAATGCTACAACCATCCAGCCTTTCCTTTCTGTTTTTCAGTTTTACGCGCCTGGGGGTGACCCAGGAAAACCAGATAATGCAATTATTGTCAACCAGAGCAAGAATTACTGGACAGGACAGTATGTCAGATACCTCTGTAATCCGGGTTATGCCATGGTTGGTCCTGCTGTCAGAAGATGCTTGGTCGGCGGCAAGTGGAGTGGAAATGTACCAACATGTAAGACTTAGGTCATTAAGAAAGTGTGATGGAGTATGCTACCTAAACGTCTTAATAGGCAATTTCAGAGATCCAGGAACTCTCACTTTCAAAACGAGGCTAAGAGCAAAACGTTTCATTTAAAAATGAGTTTTACACATCATTTTCTTATCCATGGCTTCGCACTCAGTCTCGCTTTGAAGCAGACGCATGGGGAAACTCGTATTATGGCTTATTATGCCGGAAATATATTTTCCTTTCCCTACCACTGAGGACTGATAAAAGTTCTTAAAAGTGACTTAGTATTTAAAAAAATCAATTCGCTTCACCGACACTTTATTTTGTTGTCCTTTGTTTGTTTGTTTGTTTGTTTGTTTTCAGGTACAGAAAAACCTGAATGCGAGCCTTACTGGACCATAGATGACAACACCAGACGAAAAAGCTTCACGGCGTCCCGGACCAATAGAAATGACTACTATTTGGCTGAAGGATGGTACAGGTTTATATCAGGCAAACAAGTGTCCACAAGTTGTACTTATGTATCTGGCTATTGCGATACTTCATATGCTGGATGGTTACAGGGAAGCCATCCGTCAGTTAAGGAAGGGGTGATCTCTAGAAAAGTATGTTTTGGCTATGCTGGTGGTTATAGTCGTAACTGTTGTCGTTATAGTACATATATAAAGATGCGCAACTGTGGTTCTTTCTTCGTCTACAAACTGAAACCCACACCAAATTCTAACTGTCGTTATTGTACTGAATACTAACAGAGTCAACTTACCAAGCAGCGTACTTAGATAATTATAGAGGATATTACATGGCCGCGCAGAGATACGAAATGTCTCTTCAAGTGTGGAATACGTGAAGAGAAATGTGGTGTTTTAAGGCGGCCATACATTGTTCTATTCATTACATAAACACCAATGAAATACCAAACCATTTCACTTGAATATTTTTCTTTGGCTACCGGCGGAAGACGCGATTTATCGTGAAACCATAGCAACGACGGAGATCTTTTCACGTGTGAAGGTGTCATATTTTCGCGGAAGGGTCACCTAGTATATCCTTGGTGTTTAAATAATAAAAGGTATTATCAATCACTAAGGAAAACTCAATCCTTTCAATTTTATAACGGCTTAAGTAGCATATCCGAAGTACCCACAACTCTCTTCTAACATACAATAGCCTCATGGTAATCCGAACCCACTGTAACTCCAATCCTACCCAAAAACTCGAACCAAAATTGATTTTCCCTGGACTTGCTTATAGTAGATCTACCACAGTTCTGCCATCGATAACTCAAACCTTCTGCTGTTTCTCTTGCCTTTTTCCTGTTAAGAGGAAATGTCCACTAAGATCGAGCCGAATCGAAAATTCGTGGCACATAATGAAAAATCAAAATTCCTGATATTTCGTCCAGAGATACCCTTGATCGCCCGAGAAACGTGGTGGCATTTTTTTCTTGAAATAATTTTTTGAACACCACGAAAAATAATAATAATAATAATAATAATAATATCGATCGAAGGGCATCTTCAGTCATTAGTCAAGTGTCGCTACTTTTAAGCCCACCCAGATGTCCTATTTTTGTCCCACATCTTTTTTTAGAGCTTTCTTCAAAGAAAATAACCTTAATTTCCTTTAAACATTACATAGCAATTTTCCTCGAAGTCGATGCTAAACGATAATTTTTTTGTCGACAGCGTTCACAAATCGTGTCCGTTTTAAATTCATGTCACGGAATAGAAAGGTCACACCTTATTCTGTGTGCGATTAGGATCATTTTGATTGCTGAACCTGGTTATGGCAGCGTGGTAGTTGGGCTGAAAATTAAACTGATTTAATAAAATCCAACTAGTGGTTTATTATCAATGCTGTGTTCTCATTGGCTGAGCTACTACTAGGCTAATTATCTTATATGAAAACCAAAACAATGGCCGCTGAATCACCTTTTGCTAGCTAAAGTTGTTCTGCCTCGACATTTTTGACCAACTAGTTGGATTTTACTGATAGAAACAATTGTTCTTCTCGCCCTCATGGCCTCTGAGTAGCCTCTGGATAGGACATTCGGCCTTCGGCCTCAATGGGCTACTGACTCTATCAGAGCCCATTATTCGGGCCCGAGGAATAACTAGACCTTTGGATGTGTAAAAACCTATGGAAACTTAATCACGACTACTGAACTTGTCGTCATTAGCTCCAAATTTCGAAATCGACCAAATCTTGAATATGTTCGGGTTAGAGATGAGTTCATTGCTCCAGTAAGTTGTTTGTACGTAACCTAAGAGTCATCATGGACAATTGTTTTTGCACGGAACAACATGTAAAAATGCTATGTAGTGAGGCAAATTATCATCTCAGGAACATATCAAAGATTCACAAATATCTCACCCAGGACTTTGCTCAAATTCTCATCCATGGTTTTGTTAGTTCTAAGCTTGCGGACTACTGTAACTCACTTCCATATGGTATTCCAAAAGACTTAGTTGGTAGATTACAGCGTGTTCAATAATACGGCAGCTCGCATTGTTACCTTAACAAGGAAGTATGATTCGATTACTCCAATATTGTTCAAGCTACTCTCAGTCTGGCTCCCCGTACATTCACGCATTATTTTTAAGCTCCTATTACCCTCTTATATTTCTAGTCTCCTGAGCCATCGTAGGTGCTCTCGGTCTTTACGCGCCAGTGGGCAAGAACTGCTCACTGTGCCACTGGCTAAACCAAAGACGTAAGGACGGTGCCCACTAATGGGAAGTATTTTTTCCCAGATAATGACCATGTGAGACAAGTAGATCATATCAGGGGCTATTGAAATCCAAAAAGAAAACTGGGGGCAACCACGCATTTTTCAGAGATAACTGCGCTTCAATATGGAGAAAAACGCTGAATAGGCATTTTTTAGAAAAATGATAAAAAGTTATTTTTTCCCCAAATTTCAGAGTGTACACGATCTGGACTGGACGTTGCGAGATTAAACGGTCTTAACGGTGCGTAGATTTTAACTTTTTGGGTATTTAATTGTCGCGCCACAAGGGGCAAACTGAGTTAACGTGTAAACTGAAACCCGTTCTAAATCCAAACAGTATTCAATAATGATAGACAGAATGAATACCAAAGGTCCTCCCTTTTTACAACTATGATATCTTTAATGCATAATAAGCACACACACAAAAAAAAACAGCAAAGTCTAGAATTTCAACTCAAATTATATATAATCTCTACATGATATTCAATCTTTTTCAGTCTTAAGTCAGTCCTCAAGGAATTCGAGCATTTATGGCGTCAACTCGCCCTTCACCAAACCTCTCAACTGTTGAGTCAGGTCTTCATCTAATTTTTACGCTTGCCTCAGTTGCTTTTCTTTCTTACAAAGTTTATTACCTTGAATGTGAGCTCTCTTTAATTCGGGGAAAAGAATCTTTAAGTGATGGCCGCATACGCGTGACTAAAGCGACTCCTCTGTCTCTGATTCCGAACGGTGAAGAGCTCAGAAGTGAACGGAATCGCCGAGCTGATCAAGAGAGGGTGATATCATCTTCAGCCGGCAAACTCAAGGAAGCATGTGTCCAGAAGTTGCAAGACGACCTTCAGGGAAGGCAATCTATCTGATCCTAGTTTACCATTGTTTCATAGTTAGCCACCTTGATTCTGCATTCCTACAGCACAAACTGACACGCAAAAGATGTTCGGAAAAATCTCAATTTCATTGTATCGTAGAATAGGGTTTTCGAGTTTCATCGATCCATCTAAACGTTTCTCATAATGTGTAATATGTTGGACTGTTTGATACACGTTAATTCGCTAAGCGTCGTGGGGGATATACTCCCTTTTAAGCCATGCAACAGTATTGTGAGCGGTTATTGGATGGTTTTTAAACCCTTCTGGTCAGAAATTGAGTATAGAGTTATTTCCACCATTGTCGTATGGGTATGGATTTTAAAGACGCAACATTTTACTGACTTGAAAAGTGAGCTTTGATAATTTGAAAGGTCCCGTCTCTCATTTGTACGTAAAATCCGTGTCGCAGGTTTAAGCATGAAGCTACAATGGAATATTAGGTATCAAAGTGTATACACACTGCCACGGTCTGCTATGAAATAGAGTACCAAACTTTGGGTTATGTCTAGTACGATGTCGGAAAATCATAACTATCTAGCTTGTTTTGGGTAAGGACCACACGGCTCCTGTACGACAATGATGCTGCAAGCCCACCTCACAGACCTCACAAAAAAACCTTTTCCCTGGCAAAGCGCCAGAAATTTTAGTTGTTTTTTTTGTTGTTGTTGTTGTTATTTATTCTTTTAGTTCTAGACACACTTGAGTTTGTGCCAAGTCAGCAAGTCTATAATGTTCATTTAGTAACATTGACAGGGAGTTACTCACCATGAGTGCTATACGGGTGCTCATGCACCTTTACGAGTAACGTCGATCACCTAAACCCGCAAAAATATCATGATATTGAGACCTCTACCCACGGAGTAATATACTTTGTCTAGTTCAGTTGTGTAATGTAACAGAAGATGACCTTATTTATGCCATATAGGGGATATCTAACTACAAAAAGGATTAATATATCCAGTCCGGTAGCGGTTTTTAGAAGGGCTAATAAACGCGGAAGGGCTTAAATCCCGGGAAGGGTTGCAGTGGAGGACGGGGGCTATTGGGGTAAGTTGCCGTTTTCGTTTAAGGTATTTTAATTGATTCCTCGTTCCTACTTCGTACTCAGTTGTAAAGCCACTCCAAGGCTGTTAAGCTCTAGTTGCAGTTTGGAGAACCGACATGGTTGGGAACTCCTTCCATAACGCACACCTTCTAAAGGACAGTTCTTCGCAGGACAACTTAACTGTAGCCTTGTGTTAGTGCACATACCTCTGTCTCGCAAAGTTCATAATAAATCCAACTGGTAATAAGAGAATGATAAGTGAGTCGTGATCCAAAGAACAACAGATTTCCAATTAGTGCGCTAAATAATAGTATGCTCATAAAATATTTCATTATTTTGTGTTTTCAAAGCACGCGAGATACACTGCTAATAAGAAAATGACCGTTAGGTACGGGCACATTATACAATACAATACAATATTCTTTATTTAACGAAGGTGACGTAATAACCCAATGAGTTATCTAACTTACGGCCTTTACATTAGCGTGTGATACAGTAGGGCCAATTTTAAAAAAAAAATATTCACAGAAAATTTATTTGTATTTTTTCACTTATATATATTTTTCATGGTTCAACTTTTCATACTGAGACTCACTCTCAGAGTATTCGGAAACTATAAGTGCATGGAATTTGTTGTCATAGAGTCAGAGGCGCAATTGGCCGGCATGAATGTAAAAATAAATGTAAACCCTAAATTGTAGTCTGTTTACCAACGACGCACTTAGGAGTTCTTGAAAACTCGTTTGAACGTGTCCGTGCGTTCCAGATTGAATGGGAATTTGGAAGTTTTGGTTTTAGGAGAGGGGAAAACCGGAGTATTCGGAGAGAATCTCTTGGAGCAAGGAAGAGAACCAACTACTAATGGCGTCGACGCCGGGATTTGAACCAGGGCCATTAGGCGAGTGCTCTCATCATTGTGCCACCGGTGCTCCCCAGCTATTACTATCCTTCAAAGTTGCATGTTGGCATTTGGAATATCTATAGACACTGCAGCAATTGTTTACTTATCATAATGAAATTGTAAATTGTAACCTTGACCGTTTCGATGAGCTTGGTATATTTAAAAAAACAAAGTCAAGAAGAATCAACTGAACTTGAGAATTAATTTCCTAACCCAAATATTGAGACCTACACCACGAGTCAAAATATTATTTTCCTAATTCAGTTTTACGTCAGATGAGTTTTTCCCACCAGTTGTAATCGGTTTTGTTCCAGCTTTAAGAAGAATTGCCTTTAAACTGACCTAAAGTGGGAATTTCCAAGTCAGAACTATTCATGGAACCAAATATTCCATTACTTCAATCTCTCGCCCCAAACCCTTCTTTGTTAAGACTGTTTTGTTTCTATTTATTTGTATTCAATAGGGCGCGCCTGATACAGAAATTTGCTGTTGCGCTATTTAAGGGAGAATAAACTATACACTGTTGTCAGCTTGACATCATGCCAGGAAAAATACATTTGTGAAAAAAAATCTGAGTATGAACCACAACAAGTTCATAAAATTTGAAAATAAAGTTATAGTGATTAAATGTGCTATACTGGATTTAACTCTGTGTACTGTCAGTGTCTCAGGTCATTGATGGTGTAGTCAACCGAACTGGGAGACTTGTTTGTATGAGAGGTCAGTAGCTAGAATTAACATATGTACATGCAGTCAAATCCCTCTATACGAACACACAGTTTTATGGGCACTTTCCTATTACGGAACTAGTAATGTTTACTTACTGTCTCTATACTGTTCATGATATTAAGTTCTTGGCCGTTTGAGTAGTAACATAGCGAACAAAAGAAGATTAAAAAATTATTTATATGATTACCATTGTCACAAACCTTCAGTTGAAGCTTGAAACAACATCCATATAGTTTTTCTCGGCTTGATTATAATGACACTCAGACAAGCAGCTTATAGCACATTCAGCTCATTTAGTGATCCCTATGATCGGTATTTACATTGACAGTTTACATAATTAGATTTCCTCATTGCTCCTCCCCAAAAAAGTCGAGCCTCACCTGCTGACGTGTATTTTCAGCCCAACACAGGTTAAAATTTTGCTATGTTACCATAGCGTTTCAGTCTATAAGCGACCATAAGCTGGTAATCTAAGCTTCAATGGCTAAAATCGGACTAAATTATTAAAGCAGACTTAAAGCAAAATGATTTTTGATGCGAAACTGTATTCGGAATGCTAACCCACCCACTGTAATTCTCATTCAGGTCTTCAAGGCCCACAAGGAGTTCCAGGTCCCCGCGCCGCGGTGCGCGAGGTCGCAGTGGCAGAATAGGACCACCAGGTTACCGCGGTCGCCGTGGTCGCTCAGGCATACCTGGACAAAGAGGAGCTCCTGGAATAAGAGGTCCTCAAGGAATTCCAGGAAGGGGCCTTGATGTTAATGTTACGGAAATTGAAAATCTCGTTGAAAGATTGATGAACTACAATCCAGAAGAAATAACCATGTTTGGTGAGTAAGAGGGGGACATTGGGGGGGGTACCCAATACCGCAATACCGTAAGAAAAAATGGCAAATACCGAAATACCGCGTCGAAAATCGTCTAAATACCGATACCGCATATTTTAATCACATTCATAATCGGTTCCGCATACTTATGGGTGCTTCCATCTAGCGCGTTTAATTATCTCAGGCATTTATGAACCAGATGTCCATGTTTTTTTTAATATTTTGGTAGTTTGCAAATTTTTGGTAAATTTTCACTGAAAAGAACCTTTTGGTAGGTCGACCCAACAGCTAACTCACTCCAATAAAAATAACTCTTGAAAGCGCGAAAAACAAAAACAAAAACAAAAAAAGAAAAAACAAACCAACCAAAACTCTTTCCACGCACGTCTAGTGCGAGTTTGGATGAGTCTGTAGTCTAGTACGTCAGTATCTCAGGGGTCAACTATCTCGACTGTTTCACACGCCGCGCCGGTAAGAGGCAAACTTTTTCTTTTTTAACTTTACAACGCGTTTTTCAATTCTCGAAACCCGACATCTAAACTTACTCTTGTTGCGATAATGCTCTCCTCCTTCGCCCTCTTCATCAAAAAAATTGCCACACAGTCAATGATGACCACGCCGTCTTCGCCGTCTTAGCGACCTCAGCCATTGTGAGGAAACGTGTAAGACCTCGAATTGCCGGCACAGGTATAGTTTGCTACACAGCCGTTTTTAGTGTCGTCACGCAAGGCTCCTCCCCAGTGGGGAGGAGCGTTGCGTGAAGACACTAAAAACGGCTGTGTAGTAGCCTGCGTGGCAGGCGCAAAAAGGGGAGGGGGAGGGGGGAAGGAGAAAGGGAAAAGGGAAGGGAGCGCCTGCCCTAAGAGCCTATGTTTTTTGCATAACGCCTACCAATTTTCTAGTAATCCGATTACGCTTACTGTCAATCAAGTGTCGCTACACTCGCCATTACAGAAAAACATTACACTCACGGACTAAAGAAATTCGCTTAGTTTCTCAGATCCAGAAGGCACTTTGAAGAAAACTGGAACCCTTATTCAGCCGTAATAAAAAAAGCTTTACGCTTCAAAAGAGGTCAAAGAAATTGCGCTTGCATCAGAGGGCAAATCCTGCCGACCAGAAGACAATAACTACAGTCAATCGATATGTATGTCATGCCTCTCAGTGTGAAACAAGCGGCTAAAATAACATTTGCTCAGTATAAATGCAGAACCTTCCAGAGCATAATCTACCCAGCAGATAAAAACAACTTTATTGGAAAAGCAGCATTTTGGCATGAGGTAAAACCACCCTCTTTTATTGCTAAGTTACATCGGCGAATGTTATCGTTCGATAAATTGGCTAAATCTTTCGCTGGGTAGCCCAACAATTCCATCTCCTGCAACTGGTCTTCGATGATACTTTTCAGTGGCGAAATGACGAGAATCGCCGCATTACCATTTAGCTCGTAGTTCTTCGCGCGTACAAACATTTGGTAAATTATAAACTCTTGCCGTATCCGGTACGCAAAACCGCCAGAACATCTCTGTCGGCTAAAAGAGCCCTTAATGCTGATTCTTGCTCTGGTTTTAAAACAGTTTCTCTACCACTAGATAAATTCACTTCCCTCAAAGCACTCTCTACGAAATCCACGTCTACCGCTGCCATCTCGACTGTTTGTTGATTTGTGAAACGCGCATTTTAATATGTTACTTATTAGGGCTAAGCCAATCAGGAATTTGCGGACGCTAGCGTCCGCAGATATGAAAAAAAGGGGGTTCTTAGAGCAGGCGTCCCCTCCCCCTCTCCCCAATCCCCCTCCCCTTTTTCCCTTCCTCCCTATCCCCTACCCCCTACCCCTTTCGACGCCTGCTGCGCAGGCTAGCTGTGTAGCAGACTGGCACACGTTCATAGATCGAAAAGCCTGGTAAGGTAACTTGAGGCGACTCATTGTCATTGGATGCAACAACAATCATATTGTATGTTATCGACCATTAACTGTCACAAAATGACCCACAATGGTTTAATCATTTACCGTTATGTCTCAAGACTTCTAAATATTAACTTTTATTGACCTTTATGTCCTACTGTGTTTTGTTTTGCGTATTGTATCGAAAGGAAAGCGCAAATAAACGGTACAGTAATACCGTGAACAATCTTATTTCACCGAATACCGTCAGCCAATGCAAAATGATGAAAAACCGCATACCGCAGAGCTAGATGATACCGCAATACCGCACGTTAAAATTAAAATTACCGAAATACCGTATGAAAAAAAACCCAATTGCCTAATTTTATACCGCGCGGGAGCCTGGCACTACCGGATTTTCCCGGACTTTTTAAATTCCGGATTCAAAATGGCTTCCAAAACAGAGGGTAAAGCAGAGGTCATCGCGTGCAGTTGAAACGATATTAAGGGCCAGATTACTCCAGAAAGTTCATATTCTACAGCAAAGAACAATTGTTTTACTGCTATGAAGAACTTCGATTAAAAACCTTGAGAAAAGAAAGATCAAATCGGAGACTTTCGCTCCTTGGACGTATTGGAAGGATTCCCGAATTGTTCGACAAAAAAATTGAACAAACAACCGTCGCATTTAGCTTTTTTTACGGCGCTGGATCCGACCGAATATTGGGGAATGATAAGAGAGTGGGTGTACCTGTTTTTACAAACCGTAAAATAAAGACTACAAAAAGCAAAACACGCCAGAGTGACCCTGAGTCACTGAGTGAAAAAACAACATCGTATTAGGTCGGCAAGGCTTGCATAAGGTTTTCTCTCCGTCCCTGCGTACGGTCTCAGTAAAAAATCCTAAAGATCGGACCAGAGACAATTCCCACTGAACATAGATAAAAGCAAGTATACTTTAGTCTTAAAAGAGAGGCATTTTTCGTCCGATAACACTGCAGTTCCTGTGAACAGACCTCATGCATTGAGCAATGTTATAATACAGAAGTAATTGTTCTTGGAGGGATAAATTGTATATAGGGCTCACTTGTTGAGGTGCCTCTTTTTGGAACTTATTGGGACTACGAGCATGTTTACAATTTCGGGTAATCACCTTGTAATTCAATCAAGAATGTCACGTACATCTACCTTTTGGCTCGTGACACGCACTGAGTATAGACTAGTCCCTTATTCTCCCGCGTGTTATTTAAGAACACTAGGTTTAACATACATAACGCCACAAAGTTCACTACACTCAGTAACTTTCACAGACATTTCTCTTTTCCGCGACGGAAATAATCCAGGTAAGCCCTTCTGTACTGCCCTTTTAAGTCTTTGCTCCAGCATTCTTAGGTTACGATCGGTACGTACACAGTCATATCTCTGTTCTTGCCTGCAATGATCCTCTACAATACAGAAGCCGGTAGAATTAAACAGAGGACCCTTTGCTGTCGAAATTTTGTAGTCATCTTTGGTTCGAGCGACCTGTTCATCGAACAATTGCTTGCACTTGCGGCTGAGTGGCAGCTCCTTAAGTTTAGCCTCAGGGCATGACAGAAATACTGCATCCTTTCCTTACTAAGTTTAGGCATATTCTCCTCGGGAATATTAATCAATATTTCTTCGAAAAAAAATGCTTTCGTTCGAGTTTTTACTCTGACTATCCTCTGACTATCCGCCATTTTGAAACTGGACTTTTTAAAAAGTCCGGGAAAATCCGGTAGTGCCAGGCCCCCGCGCGGTATGAAATTAGGCAATACCGCAATACCGTAAACCCCCATGTCCCCCTCCTTTAAACAAGTGACATGCATATCTGTTTAATTTGACCAACAGCTCCTCCTCGATTTACAAAGAAACCTCCGTCTTCCGTTGTCATCAAGGATGGCAGCAGTGTGACATTCAGTTTTTCAATATCCGGGTACCCAAAACCCAAGGTAACGTGGTCTATGAAAACCAAAACCCAAGAAAACCAAACGCGTTTTAGGGTACTAGCTGACAAGTTTGAGATGAGCGATGTCCGCTTTGAGGACGAGGGAGTAATTACAAGCCGCGCCGAAAATATATTTGGTATTCAAGTGACCGAAGTAAAAATAACTGTTAAAGGTGAGTAGGCATAAATTAAGCGTGTGACACTTGATGCAGACAGTCAGTATATCCTCGTGGCTGCAGATTGTTTTTCCTATGAAATGATGGCGTTTTCAGCACGTTTAGCACGTTTTGTCCTTTTATGAACTCCTTCGTGATTGTCCACAGACTTACGACTGCCACTTCTTTAGGCAAGATTTACCCCGGCGCTTCATTTTGTTATTTTACCCTGCAGGTGCGCCTAGGTTCCCCAATTCTCCTCCTGTACAAGTGCATGGCTACTTAAGTAAAGAAACAAGGGTTCAATGTGACCCCCTGGGGAACCCCACCCCCAAGATTGAATGGACCAGAACTCCCTCAGCACCACTCTCTCGAGGACGCAGTGAGGTCAGACAAGACGGACTTTATATTAAAAACACAGAGAGTGAGGACAAAGGCATCTACACATGTATCGCGGCCAACGAATTTGGAAGGGACATTCAAGGGGCACACCTCAAAGTCAACTCATTCAGTAAGTGACAATGTCAAAAGCCCATCAGGTTTTCCTGGATTCATATTCGAACTCATCAATTAAGAGGATTTTCTCAGTTATATGTTTTAGCAGAATGCCTCAGTGATATTTTAAGAGTGTGTCCGTGAGAGAACCAGGCAGAAGGTGATAATGCTCAAATGACGAATTTTGCTCAAACTTGGCACAATTGATGGGTGTGGTCAGATATTAACCTGGACAAAAAATGAGGTCGCAATATTGAATTCCCTGGGATTTACAGGGACCCCCCCTAAAAACGACAAAATCTACTCATTTTTGCATAATTAATTAGCTGACTTTGGTTTGGCTGTTCAACAAGAAGAAAAGACAACTTCAAATCTAATCAACTTTAAAATCTTCTATGTTTATCAAACTTAATGCTCAGTAATTTATTTTTACTCTCTAATTCGATCTCTTCCTATTATTTAGCCTAAAGTAAGGACATCTTCTCACTGTTTTGACCAAACCCTAAATTTAAGGTATTTTAGTGGCTAACATCTCCCATGAGCAACAACCTATGTACTTATTTCTCACATATTCTTTGAAAGACATCTTTAAGGTTATCAAATCAATCATAAAATATTTGGGCAATCTCATACTTTATCAATAATGACGTATTATGTACATCTGACTTGACGCTTATTTGTCATTTGACCAAAATTGGACGAAACGTAACATTCGTTTTTTTAAACAAAAATAGCACAAAGTTGGCGAGAAGTCACAAATCAGATGCGTCATTATCGATACTAATAGCGGAATTGTTAGAACGTGTCACCTGAGGCATGTTTCCTCTGTTATTTATGGACGTTTGGATGGATATTTTATGGAACGCTTGAGTAAACACAAGGAGCAAAAGAGTTAGTTCAAAACTTCGATCGGTCCAACTTGTAGGTGAAACAAGACCCAACAAGGTCAAAAGATAGTGAATAAATGTTACATACACGTCTCTCAGGTGCTTTAGTCCAGATTTGCTGCTCCAGTTTCGTCTGGTCCTTTGTGGCGTTACTTCGTGACGAGGTAATAAAATCGAAACATCTTGAAACATTGCAGAATTAAAAGTGTCGGCTTTTCTGACCGAACATTCGAAGTCTTTGAAATAAGTTGTAGTCAGAAAGAACAAAATCATTCTCAAAGGACAAGAAGGATCACTGACAATCCGTCTATATCTACAGAAAACAACCACCTGCTCGAACACCCTCCACCTTTGACTTTAGACTCTGCCAAAAAGATGAAATCCGTGACGCCGGACTACCGGACTCCGGAATGCGGAATACGCTATCTATTGTTTGTACGCGCCAATATCCTGTTATAACTGGTGTGTTGAAAATAGGTTGTGAAAGTCGTGTTACTTGAAATTTTGAGTTTATTCGATGTTGACATTAATTACCATGATAATAATGGTCCATAATAGCCCTTTTTGTAGTCAGACCGTGCTGTGCACTTTTTAGACAATTAATGACTTGCCACTGGGTATAATTACTTACTTACTTGTATTTTAATCCTCGTAGTCTTACAACTATACAGGTTGGTATCTGTATCTGGGTATATTATTGACTACAAGAATATAATATAATAACCGTTTATAAACGTGTTGAGGAAAAACTTCTGAGGAATACAAAAGACCCAAAAGGGGGCACTAATACATTGCAAAAAAAGTCGGCTAGACTTCGTTGGCTATAAGGGAGGTGTAAAAGAACAGTTTCTTGAACACAGACTAATACACTATATTCACTTCTCATTTAAGCTGTCATGCCATTTGCGGATTCATACAGTAGATTAAGTTCTCTGAACGGACACTCTCGTATATAGCGAATAGCTCTACTTACGACCGCCATCACAAAATCCCGTTTCAACTCCCACACAAACTCTGGATTTTTACATTCCCGTAGGCGGCCGCGGACACTTAAAGGGTTTACCGGCGAATTAGATGTTAGCTTTGATTTAAAGCTCTCCTAAGCAGACACTCGAAAGAAATCTTATCCGCCTCTGAATGTTGTTTTTTTTTTTTCATATTATGTCCACAGTCATATGGCTGTTTGTAACTGTTATGAATCATTCTTATATATCCGTTTCAGAGTTACCGTTTTTTCACATACTCGTCCGGTTACACTTGAAAATACAAACTGAATTGTATGCTTTTACCTAAATTACAACAAGGCAAGAATATCAGCGTAACCATACACTAAAAAACAGTTTTTTGCTATTGACAGTGTTAATTTGTAGCTGGGAGGAGCTTCCGTAAGCGGCCATCTAACCTTTACACCACTTTTAAAGTGGCTGAATTCCACTTGCATAACTATGCTGCATACTCCAGTGAATTAAGGAATGGGTCCTCGTTACATACGGGGTTTTATGACTTGATCTTGTTTTTTCCAGTATCTTCCTTTATTTTAATCTTAAACCGCTGTGTTTAAGACCAGAACCACTTTGGACCTTAAACACTTTTTTTTTTTAGATCACGTGACCAGCCACGCCCATAATTATGCAAAATTTCGACTTTGCAGATTACACCAGTTTACTGAATGTGACAACAATCGTTTTTTCTTCCATAATATTTCATTTACAGGAAAATAAGCTAAATTAATCGGGGATTTGTGGAATGATCCATTCCTTCGTAATTATTAGATAATTTTCTCTCGTCCCAGTCTCCCTCTTAACAAGAAACGTTATAGTTTACAAAACGTAGATAATTTAAGAAAACCCCGATTAATTCCATAAACTTTGTGCCAATAGTCATTGACAAAAAGTGAATTAAATTACAAGTGTTATTTATAAAGTGGTGTAAATTTGGATTGAAATAAAAAGCCAAAAAATGGGTGTGGCAAGTCACGTGACACAGATAATATATAAGTAATAATGAAAAATGAATGCTTATGAGGAGTAGATATTGAATTTAAAATATTAATGCGAAAGGTAAAATCCCTACTAAAACAGACCACCCCCCTCCAAATTTGCAGTGCCCCATTCCTTAATTCACCGGAGTATGAGATTCATTCTTGTAAGCGGCCAGATCCAGTTAAGGACACCTTTTTCTCGTCCCGAGGGCGCCCTCGTACGAGAGCTTCCACTGTATTACAATTTTAGGATTTCTCTTACATTTTAACAAATTTCTCTTAACGAGGCACAGTCGAACCTACGTGCGACCACCCAACTTAAGTGACCACTTCCCAATAAGCGATCACTTATTCAACACACCAAATATATTACCAAGTCAAAGCGCTTGTAGTTGGAACCTCCTGTAAACGAACACATCCACATCCAGTAAGCGACCGCGACCACCTTTTACGATGACAGTCTGATTGAGAATTTTCCATGATGAAATGGTCTGATCTCTGTGTTCCCCGTATCTCCTAAGCTACTCGGAGTATGAGAAGAACTTTAGAAACAAATTAGATTTATCTATAGTATATTGTAACTTAAAAATTGCATGCAGTACATTCACTCCAAAAAGTAGATGTGTCAGCACTTTTCCTCGTTAAAGACCTCCTGCAGTTCGACTCTCGTAAAACCCAAATTTTCCTTGGGCAACCCCATGGGCGTTATTTACTGGGTGTCTTCCGACCACGCACGGACCGGAACATCAAATGTCTGTAACTTAATTGTTGTGTCTGTCCATAATTCAACATCTTCCTGCCTCAGCACGGCACACGGCTGGGCACTAAACTGGTTTTGGCGCCCAAGAGTACGCAAAAAGGCCCTTCCGAGATCGATGTCTAGGACGCGAAATTGACCTTAACTGGGTAGGGTGAGAAATTTGAAATCGAAGTATTACAGTTCAAGTATCTCTCGGAGGGAATGTGGGAAGGGTGTTAAACATATGGAAGCGGTTGTTTACGAAAAAATATCTAACTCAATGTGAAAGTGTGGTGTATTTTGAATTCTACTTGGGAACATTAGTGCCTCAGTTAGGCTTTATAAGACCCCCAAAAGACCGTGCGAGATAAAAAATTCACTGTTTATGACAGTCAAATCCGGTGCCAGCAGGGTAGGGCATTTGTACGCAATTTGGACACTCCCCCGGGGAGAAGGGACTCCAGTATGAAAAAAAAAATGAAATTCTTGTCGGAAGCCAATATGGACGTGTCTCACGCTTTATTTGTGTCTTTGAACTGGTCTGCACCAACATCCGGCTCTTCACTTCGCTGCTATTTCATGTGCAACTAAAATAGAAAAAATAGCTCTTTCCAAAACACGAAGACAAAGCGATTTCTATCTCCGAGTTTGAGAAGACATGGGATCATTTATAATCATGGTCTGAATAAAGTTGCCAATAGATTTGGAATTCTAAATTATTTATCAGCATACAATAACAATAAAATAATCTCAGAGAATGTCGGAAAGTCATTTTGTTCACTGAACTCTGGCTCCTGGCTCCTGGCTCCTGGCTCCTGGTCCCTGACTCTCGATACGATGTTTCCGTATGGTGACAACCGCTGCTTAAAATTGCGGCCTCCATTTAATGTCAAAGATGTCGGACGTTTGCAACATGTGAATTGAGCTACAACAGTGGCAGAAATAATTCTTTCAATGGGTTAAGAATCGGCTTTCTACCTTTCGTATTGTTTTGTCCTAAAACAACTTGATTTGGATTTTGGTGCGTAAACTGATGGCTAAGGAATTTTAGTCGTAAGGCGAGTCACGACGCTGAACTACGCTGAACTGGACATCGAAGGTGGCATGAAGAACAAATCAAAGCGGGCACAAACTAGCAGTTGAGACATATAAGAGATACGAATATGGATTTTATTGATCGTTTATATTGTTTTTAGGGCGAAATTGTTAAAGTAAGTAGAACTGTGAATTAAATCTTTGTATGTTGTTTTTACTTGAAAAGATCGCGTATATAGCTATCAAAAATCATCGTTAGCGTTTCTTACACAACAATTTTTATGATTTTGCCCTTATTAATGTTAAATCATTGTCTGATGAGTTTTTTTGTTCGATTTCTCCTCATTCAAAGGCAAACACACGAATATTGTGAAGGCCTGAATTTTGATGAAATATGCAAAAGTCGTTCAGTCACATGAACAGTTTATGTCAACACATGGAAGAAAGTGAATTGCCCAAACTTTTTATGATCTTTTTCTCAACTTAAGTGATGGCTTTAACTACTCATGCAAAAGTTATAAAGATAAGCGGTTGCTCATCAGAGATATTTGGGTATAAAAACCCTAATTTTACGTTTTACTCAAAACTTGGAAATGATGACCCAACTTATGGGGGCTAAGAGGGGGGAAATCGAATCGGCGGCTTTAAACAGTTTATTGTGCTTAAATTCTTATGATGTCAGATTATCTCTCAGTGCATTTAAGTTCCAGGTGGCTTTTCTGTTTGTTGCACTGGCATCGTAAAGTTAGCTAATTAATTATGCATAAACGGGCAAAATGGCGATTTTTACAAGGGGAGCCCGGATCTCCCAGGGAATTTAATATTTTGACCGGACATTCTGTCACATAAGTTAACTCCTGATACCTAACATTTGTGCCACGTTTAAGCGAAATCGGTGATTTGAGCATTATCACCCCCTGCCTGGTTCTGCCTGGTTTTCTCATAGACACACTCTTCATGTGCTCTGGCAGGCTTTGTTAACTTTAAGTTCATTAAAGAGCCAAAATGGCTCTTGGTATTTTGGTTATCTGTCAAATTTGTTTTCGTGACCTCGCCAGAACATGCATCTCTGTTTATCCAAGTAAGACCGGGCTCCATGTAAGTGTTCTTTTTGCCTTTACTAATATGGCTATGCACTTTTAGCAATTACCAAGGGGCCTTAAAATCAAATGATGATATAAATATTATTACTTGTTTAGTAAGAGAGTTTATAAACATGGATTTTCCTATTAAATACCAGAATTATATGGGAAAGAGGGTAATTGGCAAGAAGACTAGGCTACTGGGGCCACTGTTCGTACAGCTAAGGCTGGATCAAGGCATAAAATTGATGATCTTAATACGCTTATAATGGTCTTAAGTACTTTGGCTTATATGTGTTCTATCAATACAAAGAACCACCTACGTTTACCACACCACCACCAGATGCAATCAACGCCTCAGGTATCAGAGAACTGGTCCGAGTCAACTGTTCTGCTACAGGTGCTCCTCTACCAAACATCACTTGGTACAAGAATAACGTCACCATACCCTCCACCTATTATGCCAACTCAGATGAAGTCACCGGCGAGCTCCTGATTGATCAGTTCCAGCCCTTAGACCAGGCCACGTATACTTGTATTGCTCATAACATGTACAAGGATGAAGTAAAGACAAGTACAAAGATAGGTACTATGCTCATCCAATTAACATTATCTTCATTTAAGTCTCTGACGAAACCTGCACTATTGCTACTTAATACATTTAATACGTCCTTGAACAACAGTTGATGAAGAGGACTTTGTTCGTCATTGTCACTCACATGTAAACAAGCCTTGAGATGAGCAAAAGATCAGAGATACAGTAAAAACCCGTGAATAGGAACCTTAAAATTAAGAACCTGTTAGCCTAAAATTTGCCATTTATACCCTCTATAAACAAGAACCCATTTAGCCAAGAAAATGAAAAACAGGTTCTTACTTTTTAAAATCATATTAGTGAAATGCAGCTGCAAAGCTGTGCAAGAATCTTGTTTAGAAAATAAGGAGATTGGCATTGCTGTGCAAATAAAAGTGCTAATTTTATTATTGATGTAATAAAAAAATAGAGTGTAAGAGGTTAATATTGTTGTATCACATTTTGAAATTGAAAAATAGGCTGATTACCATCTTGTTTTGTAGCTTGATTTTTTTTTACAGCAATAAGAACCTATTTAAGAACCTAAATAGCCTAAAATTGTGTTAACTACCAGTTAAATAAGAACCTGTTTAGGCTAACTCCAGAAAATGTAGGTTCTTACTCGCGGGTTTTTACTGTAACATTGATTTTTTTTCTCGAAAAGTCCTCTCCCATCCAACCGTAAATACACCATAATAATAATAAGAAGAAGAAAGTTCTTTTTACAGGTGGTTTATGTCACATAACGTGGTTTTCAAGAGGGCTCTGCATAAAAACTAAAAACTACAGTACTAAAAATAACAAAATATTAAAATAGATGAACTAAAAAGTGTTACACTAAGCGAACTTATTAAGAATTAAAATGTTTAAGTAATAAAATTTTAAAAGCATTATAAGGTAGACATCTCATGTCTTCTGGAAGGGAATTCCAGTCTGTCAATGCACTTTTAAAGGATCTGAGTAGACCCCAGTTCGTGTTTGATCTAATAGATCTAATAGTTTCCTTGGCGCGGGTGTTATGGCTATGATAGTCTAAGCCTCGAATAATCATACTGTTTCTTTCACTGTCATTACTAAAATTATGCACCGTTGCATTAATCTCCTGGTTGAAAAATTCATCCAGTTCAGTTCTAGAAGTGCTTGAGTTAAAGAAGAATGCGTCGCTCGATCCAGAGCTAGGTTGGCTGCTTTATTCTGAAGAACTTGGATAAAATCCATTTTAACTTTGTTATCTTTGTTACCCCATACGATACTTGCATATTCAAGAATAGGAATGACCATTGTTGAGACATAGATCCATCTAGCATAAACTGGGAGAAGATGCTTCATTCCTTTTAAGACACCTAGTCTCTTTGCTATTTTACTTTGTAGTTGTTCAATGTGGTCATGTCAAGTAAGATCCTGGTTTATGATCACTCCAAGATACTTGAATTTGGCAACGTTCTTCAATTGATCATTGTTGGCTACGCGAGCTATGTCATTAAATTGACTTAGTTTGTTACGTCCTCCAATGACCATAAACTTCGACTTAGTAACGTTTAGTGTCAGCTTATTGTCATGTAACCAAGATGTAATAGCTGCCAAGTCTGCATTGAGCTTTGATTGCAAATTGGTTGGTGAGTTCTCATGACAATAAAATGCCATGTCATCAGCAAACATCGTCATCTTTGAGTGCTGCAGTTCAGATTGAATGCCATTAATATACGCCAAGGATAACAATAGTCCCAAAATGCTGCCCTGTAGTACTCCCATGGTGATTTTTTCTTTGGGAGACGATGCATTAACACACATCGTTTGTTGAACTCGACCAGAGAGATATGAGCGGAACCATTCCAAGCTTTTCCCTGCTACTCCGAGTGACTTGAGCTTGTTGATGAGGAGCAGACCGTAAGATGTCTTCATCATAGTTTCACACATGTTCCGTGCGCGAATTTTTCATTTTGAAACAAATAATAGAGTATATCCAATGGAAAATTTTTTGGAGCCAAAACCGACAAACCAAGCAAGGTTGCTCTCGTAGGCTATGGAGAACCTGGAAAACTAACTTCTTAGAGCAAGGGCATTGAGCAATGAAACCAAAATCAACCCACATATGGCTTCCTTGCCGTGATTCGAAACCGAGGGAGATTGATGGGAAAAGAGGCTTCTTACCACTGAGTCATGACTCTTTTTTTTTTAGCATTGTCAATCTCAAGCAGCTTGTACTAGATCAGAGCCAATTTAACTTTCTTGGCTGTTTTCTAGTCTTACCCAGCAGCGGTGACCCAGGCAAACCAAAAAATTCAGCTGTTGTTATTCAGAGTGAGAACCACTGGGCAGGGCAATATGTCTGGTACTTCTGTAATCCAGGATATACTATGATTGGTCCAGCTATCAAGAGATGTTTCCCAAGCGGAAAGTGGACTGGATATACACCAAGATGTGAGTGATACATAGAATATGAGCGGCGATCTGCACGATGAGCCCTCAAACGTCAAGCTCGTGAAACTGATTTTCAGGTCCTCCTACAGTTTGAGCTGTTTATGTTAGTGAGTAAATTCAGTAAGGAAAAACTTTTCATACAGACCATCAAAGACGGGAGATACTTCTGTACCAGGGTATAGACACTCATTACGTAACATTTCTTTTTTTGTATTGTTCAGTGTTTAGACCGTGACAAAACACGACTTGCAAGTTTTCAATATGTCAGTCTTCGGCCATGTGACCATGGTAACCAGAGATTTCTGAACATCCCTGAGTTAGTTATGTAGGGCTGACTTGCGGGTCCAGAGCCTCGATATACTATAATATATCCTATCATAATATTTGCCTACAAAAACTAAAAATAATAGACAAAATACTGATGGCTCGAGCTCCATTCCATACAGCAAGGGTGAAAATTGTGTTGTTTGTTACTTTACTACTCTCTGTCTATAATCTGAGTTCCCTGAAGAATGACTTTTTGTATTCAATTAAAATATAGTCAATTTAAAATGACCATCTTGAGATGACCTGGACCAATGAAGTGGAAAAACCTAATTTTTCTACTTTTGCATAGTAGAATAAGTTTTACTTCTCATTTATCCTATTTTGTAGGTACGGATAAACCGGAATGCGAACAATACTGGACCATAGATGACTCCACAAGACGTTATGATTTTAGGTCAGGAAAAACAAAGAGCGATAACTATCTACCTGAGGGATGGTACAGATTTATAATAGCCAAACAACTGTCCACAAGTTGCACATATCCGTCCGGCTATTGTGATGCTTCAAATCAGGGATCATTACAGGGAAGTCATCCGTCGGTCGAGGACGGGGTGGTATCTCGGAAAGTATGTTTTGGTTACTATCAAAGTGGTTTTAGTTATGGCCAGCGGAGACAAAACACCTGTTGTAAGCAAAGCACATATATAAAGGTTCGCAACTGTGGTTCTTTCTATGTCTACAAACTGAAGCCCACATCATATAATAGCCGTTATTGTACTACGCAATATTAACTGAGTCCATTGATACCATACTAGCCATTTATATATTAGATAAATGTTTTAACGTACTAAAATATTATGTAGTTCAGTAAAATTCAGACATTTCAGAGAAGGCAATTATTTCTGCGTTACACACGCTATAAATTAAGGCAGATATTTAGACAGACGATTTATATGTTTTTAGCGGTAATTTCTGAAGATCATGAATACTAAACATAGAGGTTTAAATGTCTCTGCAGGACACTGTATTTTAATATTCATTTCATGAATAATTAATTTCGGGGGATTTTCGCGGGAACAAATTTTGTTAGCAATAAATTGAAGGGGTGGCGAATGGTACCTCGAAAAACGTAGGTCTCGGAAAATTTTGGTAGGATCTCGAAATCTCGGAAGCGTTTTTGATAAGTCTCGAAGTCTTGTTTTTGCATGGTTTGTTTTTACTTTTTGTTGCGTCTAGAAACTTTTTACCAAAGAGTCTCGGGCTCGGATTTCTAACTAGGATCTCGGCCGGCGTCTCGGCGAGTCTCGGATTTTACCATTCGCCACCCCTAATTGACGATGGCTGATTGAAGTAAGTAAAAGAAAGTATTGCAGAAGCCTTCAGTTGGTTGTTACAAAAAGGGGTACTACCCAGCACCGATCCAAAGCGGTTAGAGCTCTAGTTGGCTAGCCCGGGAAAGCAATAGACCTTTTTTTGCAGGAAAATATTGCATGCATGCATAAATAGCTACTGCCCGCAAGGCTCTTCTTGATAGTTTTATAAGCCAACCAAAGTCTTGGGTCATGTTTTACGCGTATCTTTAGTTTAAACATGCATACATGTGCTGTTTACCTTGACGTATGAAGTAAGGTCGATCTCAAGGAATCTTTCTTCGACCACGGCTACATTACATTGTCAGTATAGGAGAAGAACTGCTTTACCAAGGGTACTGAGGGTTCAGGCTGTATCGTCGAACTGACAAGTGAACAATAACCCTAGTCGAGCAAATGGGAAGCTAACTTTGGGTAAGCTATGTAACGGTCCCTAGAAAGGTCACCTCAAGACACCCAGGATGGAATTTGATTTATACAGGGCCCAGGCCTCATGTGCTTGGCCGCATTTTGATCTGGCCCTGCCACTTCCGCGTGTCGACTTTCGGCCTTTTTGGATTATATCCTTCGAGTTTTTCAAAGTCTGTTGGATTCGTTTCCCTAGCTGGGAAAGCTTCATTGGTTTCTATAACTGATGCTGTGCTATTTCTACGATCCTAGCATGTTAATACTTATAATTACCAATATTAAAGTGAATTTAAGCAAATTTAATTCAAGAAAATTGGTTTGAGCATTAAGGGCAACACCAAGTAACTGCAGAGTAAGTTTCATTGACCTTTATTGAGTATTTCTGACAAATTATAATTTTATTTCATAAAAACACTGCAATTTTACTGGAATAGTGCTGTGGTACTATCACAGAGCCTGGGTAACCTGTGATGTGTGGTGATAGTAAACCATTTACCCAATAAAAATGTATAGAACCTGAAAATCCGCCAACTTGCTTCAACGTTGACCAAAGAAAGACGCGTTTAAGAGTCCATGACTGGTCATGGGCTGCTGACGCGTTATATACGCGAAGCCTCATACCTGATCCTAAAAGAAAACTCCTACTACAGTCTACTATTATAGTCTACCCGAAAACCTTGGCTGGCCCTCACTGCGCTGCACCGCAATGTAAAGAAACGTCGTCATCTAGATTTTTTCAGTCCAGCTCACTTACCTTCAAGTGGTCAAATTTAGGCGAACTCTTTCAGCGTTTGGTTCCTAAAAACTATATCCAAGTTCAGAAAGGGCTAACAAATTTTCTCGTTAATAGTTCACGCCCTCCACAAAACCTTAAATTCGGTATTTTTGCGGTAAAGTCATGCAGTGACGGCAAATAAATGTACAAAAAGTATTATCGCACGTACAAAGTTGTTGTTTTGTTCAACCTTTATGATGTTCTCGTTACCGTCGCCATTGTCGGATTTTATGGTTCCAGTTTGAAGGGCATGCAATAAGGCTGGAGGTACTACATGACAACCAAACGTAGCGACTTTTCTTAAAAAAATATCCGAGAACATTTTTAATTGAAGTCGTCTTGACGTGTGCGTCGACGTTGACGTTAACATGGCAACCGAGTTTTGATAGCAAATGAATGTTTCTCGAAATGTGCTTTTTTGCTGAAAAAAAAAACTGAGGTTTATTTCTATTCGTCAAATTACGTCATTGCAGCTCTCCTCGTTCGCAGGAAGCAAAAGCAAAAGACAAGTCCCTTTATGATTGAAAGCGATCTGTATTAACTTTGTGACCATGGCAAGACGTTTTTCAGAAACTGTATTTAGTGTCCTTCTTCTTAGGGATTAACTTTTCGGGTGAAAGCAGATCCAACAGTATATGCGCTACCGAAGTACATAGTTAAAATTTTATGTATAGATAAAACATTTCTTCTCACCTTTGGTGAGAAGATTTTTAATATATAAATTTATCCTAAAAAATGAGAACTGAAAGAAGTCTATTACTGCTTTCCCTCAGGTTGCGACAAGATCTTTTTCTTTTTGTTGGAGCATTCGTCTGTTTTGGTTTATCCCCTTCCTTTACGGGGTCGTCTCTTAACTCTCAAGATACGTTTTTATAAAATAACTAAGATAGTACGCGCGCTCTGATTGGCCGAGAGGAGTGTTTGCATGAGAGTATGTAAACATGGTTGAGGCGTCAAGATGTTGTGCTTTTCGCGCGCTAATCACGCAAGCACAAATTTGAAAAAGTTTTCAAGTTCAAAACTCGACAAGTTTACTTTATTTACCCATTCCTTCGTCGGCTGAAACTTAAAAATCGTTACAAAGAAGGCGTGTCAATTTTTTTTTCGCTTAAGCTGAAATTTTAAGCGATAAAAATCCGTATTTTGGAAAGCATTTTTTGGCAAAATAAGAACTGATTACGAGTGCAAGACTTCGTGTATAAGACTTTGCGACTGGTAAGAATTTCTCTTTTAATCAGGACCGTAACAAAGAGTTTGCGTTTTTTCTCGGGAGAGTTATTGTATAAAAGCAGTAGAAAACTTTTTCCTGTGTTTGCATAGCCTGATATAAACACTCGAGGGATTGGGAGAATTCTCGACAGTTCTGCAAACCCTCGACTTCGTCTCGGGTTTGCACAACTGTCTCAAATTCTCCCAACCCCTCTCGTGTCTATATCAGGCTATGCAAACACGGAAAACGTTGTCTATTGCTTAAATATCGGTTGGTCCATTTTGTGAGACAGTACCACTGTATGTGCGTCTAAACTGCATACAACGCAAGTATCGCATGTTTGACTTAACGTGCAACAACTTGTACAATATAACACAGGTAAGGTTTGCCATAGTATACTGGATTCAGTTTCTGCAGACTGTAGAAATCTGACATTGCCACCCCGAAGATATTTGCGAATTTTTTATGTCGGTTTTATTGTACCCCTCTCAAAAATCCGGTTTCGGTTTTTCGAAATTACCGATAATTGGAACCAATTTGCTTCAATTTCCCAAGACGATTCGTCAAAACTCAGTATTCCACTTCCAAGGAATCCAACTTAAGTAATGACCCTGTTGACAGATGATCTCCCCTATCCCTTTCCCGTCTGCTCGGGCCTATTAAATTTCTTTTCGTTCTATACTCCGTAAGAGAGTCGGTTCACAGGTAACTATAACCCGTTGGTTAGATACAAGCAGATCAGTAGGGTCAAAAATAGTTCTTAATTATCTTCCAAAGACATTAGAGACGGAGTGAGCACCAGTTCAAGTATTCTCTTCCACCCCACGCTTTCCTTGTACGCCCTGGCAAGGTTAGAGGAATACTTTAGTCAGAATTATTTTTTCGTATCTCCATAAAAAGGGCTCCCCTGAAACAGAATTCGCACGTTTCGTGCCACCTTCCTTTCAAAACGGACTGGGACCACGACTCTCTTCCACCACAAAACCATCACTGGCAACTCAGAAACGCGAGAACAATCAGCAACACGGTGTTCGTGAACACCTCAGAGAACGTCGGTGGTTTGGAGCCAAACTTTACTCACATGGCCATGCTGTGGGGATCATTTATAGACCATGACTTCACATTGACAGTTTCTAATCAGACCGAAGGATGTGGGACCAACAATGCGCCATGTCCAAGCAATATCCCTGGATGTGTCAGAAATCCTATCTCGCAAAATAATCCGGATGATAGATTGAGGAACAATCAAAGCGCCCAGTGCATTCTTTTTTTCACGATCAGAAATACGAAATGGGGAACACTGCGTTTTCTTATAAAATTTAATTTGAATCATGTGTTATTTTGTAACTCGGGATTGTATTAATTTTAAATATTAGATTCAGACAGTTTCTCATTCATTATTAATATAACCCCTTTTCAGCCAGCTAAAAAAAAAAAAAAAGACCTAAATATTCACGGATACGAGCAGTCACCAAACGAAAGGTCTGGGGCGAGGGTGAAGACGGAGAGCATAATGTTCTCTTGTTATTCAGAAAGTCAGAGCATCACATCTTCCTACTACAAAGAATCTTTTGGCAGCAATAGTAATTACTAAGTATACCAAACAATAAAAAAACCAATTTCATTCCTTGAAAGTTTGAAAAGGCTGGAATTGTGACGTCGCTACTCGATATTACCACTCGTGTACGGAAAATACGTCACTCGGTTCCCGGATGTAGTGGTCATATGAATCTAAAACACTGATCTGTCCATTCAATCAAATGAGATACCTTATTTTTCACTTAATTTCGCGAAAAATCATGAGCCAATTATTTCTCGAATATTTAATTTCGCGATTTTTTAGGATTTTTAGAGAATGTTTAGGAATTTTAGATTTCGCGAGAGTTAAATTTCACGATTTTTTCCCAAATCGCGAAAGTCACGAAATTTAATAATCGCAAAATTAAGTGAGAAATCAATAAGGTATTACAAAAATAGTACATTCCATTATTTGTTTTGTTTTGTTTTTGTTTTAGGACTTGAAACGTC